ACTGGATTTCCCGCCTGCTCGCACTGCCTTCACAAGACTGTGCGACGCACCCTCACCAGGTCACATCTTCCACGTTGCAATGCCGGCGTATCCCTCAGCATCCAAAGAGCTCATCGATGCCAAGGCTAGCTGGCCCGTGCCACAGCGTGCAGCAACAAGGCCGCTGTTATTGAAACTGTAACGGAAAAACATGTCTCACACGACACATGTGATCCTCAACCATCTCCCAGCACTTCGGTTGCTCCTGTGCGGGTTGATGGCGCTTCCTCCAAGCACGCAGCACCTTCACATCGCTGCTGTCAGGGCAATTCATGATGCTTCCCATGGCATTCACCTGCACCCCGGCCCCCTCCCCAGTCGTTTGTGGTTGCTTAGGTTTGAGGATGCCACCACAATTATTCCCCATGTCATGAAGAGTCTGCCAACTCCCTCCCTCCGCCACCTCGTACGCAGCACACCCATTCATCCCACGCCGCCACAAAGCCCCCTCGACTGTGAGGGTATTGTCAACACCCTTGTGCTACGACACCGTCTTTGTAGCCCTGTCAAACACAAACGCAAACACCGAGGCTCCAAAGCAGTACGCAACCACATGGAGCTGCCCGGCGTCGTAGTGCAGCAGCCGATAGAGGAGGTAGGAGCAAGGCGTCATTGACTTCACCATCCCAGGTGTCCCGAGCAGGAGACGCAGCCTTATTTTGAACTCTTTTAGATCTTCAGTGCTGAACAACTGTTTAAATCGTCTTCCACAATCTACCACACCTGCTCCACCCCATCAGTAACGTCGCAGTTGCTCATATTCATTCCTCTCAAACCACAGGTACGGCTATTCCCCTTCCCGGAGGTGAACACCACCTGCTTGGGAGGAATGAAGATGCCCTCTTTGCATTGCCATATTTATCGATAGTTCAATCATCCACCTTTTATGCCCACGGCTGAGGTGCCTTGCCTTCCTGTGATGCCATTGCCGACGGCTTCCCATCACAACCTCTGACAAAGTGATATCCGATAAGTATTAAAACAAACAAAATCTAACGGACCCGTACGCAGCTTCACGTCAAATTGCTGCGAGGACGGAAGGCTGTACTTGTCGCAGCGGGAGGCGCTGCAGTGCGGCCGCATTGGGCGTGCGGGGCGCCACAGTCACATCTGTTTTTAGGGATCCCACGCCTCCGAAGAGCTTCCAGCTACTAATGTTCCACGGTGAGGAGGGCATCGGGCGGGGTTGGGGCTGTCTGGGGGCTTGTATGAGCTCCCCCACACAGCGCCGAAGGTAGACGCTGGCAAGCTCTCTTCAAGATGTTTTGCTGGAAGACGTTGACCGAATCAATAAAGTTTTGCTGGACAAGTTCCTTCGGAGGTATTTTGGCAGCAATAGAGCCGTGGCTAAAGACCAAAATGTGGTGATGGAGGTGTTTCCTCGTAAGCCTTCCGCGAACTTTACAAACCCGAAGCTTTCAAAGAAATTATAAATTAAAGGGTTCGTGACAAGGACGCCTTCGTGAAGGTGCACGCGAGCCTCTGCGGCACAAGGCGGGCTCCTGCACAAACACCCCATTGGCATGTTGTGGTCTTCAACAGCGGCTCTGCTGGTGTCAACAAGCTTTTGAATAAAGCCATTCAGTTTCATATCATTATTCGTTTGACCTACTCCCCCAGCAATACATCCTCGATAGAGCTTGCAAGCGTCCTCCTTGGCCGCTACGGCGCTCCTTCCACCCTTCGGCGCTGCGCAGGGGCTCCTCGGTGGCGTGAGATTCTCCCTCACGTCTCTCAGACATGTTTTCCTTCGTAGTGGTTAACTTGAGTTGAACTGCAGCACAATACTCAACCAGCAGTCAAAAGGGAGAATTAAATTATTAAAAAAAACAGGCAGAGACACGACTCTACGCTGCCGCAACGAAAACAAGAGAAAAAACCACTCACACGGCACGCGGCGCACACCTCACACACACACAAACACGCACAGGCACCCCCAATCCCACACGACGGCAAATCACCGCCATATTTACTTTACACTCCGCTGAAGGCAGAGCATCCACACTGCTCGAAGGCAGGCCACTCTGTCCATTACTCCCTTTCCAGCGCCACCGATGAACCTTCACCCAAAACATCGTGCGGCATAGGCGGGAAGCATCACGATGCCTGCGGAGGGTCACCGCCAAACAAAGACGCGGCCCCACCACGTGCCCATGACGACGTTTCGTCCTCATCGCAGAAAAAAAGGGTGTGTACGTGTGTGTGACGGCGTGTGGGGCAGCAAAGTGACAGCATCGGCAGCCGTCACTCGCCAAAAGACAGAAAAAAAGA